GGCCACAACCCCTTCCCCTAACTGGCCCTCCATACAATTTACGAAACCCGATGCGGCCCTCAGGCCAAAAAGTTTGCCCACCCCTGATCTAACATATCCGATATCCCTGTCAGATTTATTTGGACTTGTGTTTGTGATTCGTTTGTTAATAAAAGACTAAACTTTCCACTCTCTGGAAAAGCAGACTGTTATAGCCATGACAAGCTTTTACGTGGCTAAATAGTCAATGGTAAATGAGAGGAAGAACAGCACATATGGAGAGAGGATACCATCTCAAATCTGTGTGTTTTGTAAACTGAAAGTGGATAAAGCCATTTCTGTGGATTGGTGGAATTGGTGTGCAAGAATATTGGTATACAATTTATAAACTAGATGTGAACTCCATTCTTCAAAAATGAGAGGTTTTTAAATGTGAAGTAATACTTGTATTATAACTAGGGTGACCAAATAGCAAGGGTGAAAAATTGGGATGGGGGTGGGGTAATAGGCACTTATATAAGACAAAGCCCCAAATATCAGGACTGTCCCTATCAAATCAGGACATCTGGTCACCCTAATTATAACTGGACTGTTTTGTTAGAGTAAGAGCCTGTTTGCATAGTGAATCATTGTGTTTTATGGTTGTTAATAAAACAAAACTTAAAAGTTTGGCCTGGGCAATGTAAAGATGAGAGTTCAGTCCTAATGCTGATTCTGTGCACTTCAGATGACTTTGCAAATCCCAGATGCAATCACTTTGTTTCCTAACAGACAAGGCAGAGTGCACTGTATGCTCATTAATGGAGTTGGACTCCCATTGACTTATATGGAAGTTGGATCAGGCCGTAAATAACTAATCCGAGTATGTGTGGATGACTGTATGCAATAAACTATGCTTCTTGACCTTTTCATTTGTTTATTTTCCCAGAAGTTTATATTTTGCAGCATTACTGATTTGTAACTTAAAGTGGGTTTGAAAAAGACAGGTTTAATCAGGTGATAGCGCTATCTATATTTATATCTATATCTATATAATTATTAGTCCTATCTCTAAAAAGTTAATTTTTATTTGATTCTCCATTGTAATTTCTATACAAACAGTGAACACAATGAAATCCTTAAAGGTGACATGCATTAAGAAGGCCTGAAGAGTTTTGTTTTTAATTTTTCTAGTTTGTGCTTTTACATTAGAAATAACAGAAATGTCAAGTTTGGGTTATCTGATTTTGTTAGTGGTCTTCTTGAGGGAGGTGATAACACAGATGTGTGTTGAGAACTCTCAAACCTGAATTGAGATAGTGTGATATGTAATTTTTAACAAAGACATTACATTCTTTCTCTTGCTTGTTTATTAGGCAATGGAAATAAATTCACAAAAACAAACAAAAAGTGTTTTCAACTGTTTCGTTCAAACAGTTGAAAACACATCCCCTCTTGGTTGCCCAGTGTTCAATCTCTTGTCATATAAAAAATTTATTGGTTACAAGGTTGCCATAGAGTCTTCATGGGAGATAAGACCTGAACTTCCAATATAAAAAGAAGCAGATTTTTCTTTGTTTTTAACAAAAGCCTTATCAGCTGATTTCATATATCACAAAGCAGCTAAAATAGGAACAAGCTCAATTATGTTTTTTTCCTTTTCAGTTTATCTTTTAAATTCTGCACTAGAGATATTTTAGAATGTATAAGTAGTTGTGACTTAAAATCTTTCTTAACCCCCCACAACCCTCCCACCCCCAACCGTATTGCTTCTGTCCCCTACTCCACTAAAGTTTTCCATCTTTTCCTTTTACTGATTCATAAATATAAATTACATTTTTGGGTGGTAAAATATTGTCATAAATGTATGTGATTCTAATCTTTGATCAGAAATTGAACACGTACTGGGAAGTTAAAACACCTATTGCTTTCACTGTTTTGTGATCATCAGATGTGCACCATATGTGAGTTTTTTGAGCTTTCCATCACTGCCAGTTCTCCTTGGCTTGTGATGTGCTTGTAATTTGTGTGGCCTTTGGAAAAGAAAGGACTATTTGCCCTTACCACAGGCTCTTAAAATGTGGTTAGCTTATATATGCTGAGAGAACTTATTTCTTTACAGCAAATATATTTACAGTGGAATAAAGTTTTGTTAATGCTGCCTTTCCTACAAACAGTGCCCCAAGATAGTAATGCAATTACAGAGCTAAATAGGATTTAAACGTGGAGGCAAGGGTTAAGACAAGTTTTCGGCTGAGATGCTTAAAGAAATGGAGAGTGATACTGAAGGCTGTAGGAGCAGCAGCTGGGAAAGTTCTTGCACTAGTAAGGATGTGACTGTGTGGAGACTAATTGGCTCACAGTATGTTTTAGTAACAGTTAAAAATTGACCCTATCTCTTAACTAGAAAATTAGCTAGCTAAAATTCAACAGGGATTACATGTTGCCATGGAGTATGGGACCGAATGCTTAGCCTTTTGCTTTGTTCTCAGGCGGTTGGTAGGGGCTTGGGAGCACTGCTCATGGTGCTCTGTTAGTCCCTAGAGGGACTGAAAGATTGATGGGGTGCAGATGTAGCAAGGTCAACCCTTTTCCTGTTGGAAGAAGAGTGTCTGAAACATGGACACTTTGAGTAAGGACAGTTAACGGAAGGGGGATGCTGGGGGAGCTGGGAGATAGAGGCAATGGAGAAAGATCCTTTCTATTCCTTTAAGAACCCTTGGAGTGGTCGCAGAGGGGTGAACGTGACAATAAACTCTCAGTGGCACAATAACACTAAACTAATGTTAAGTTTAAAACCCAGGCTTAAGTGCTCTCTGGAAGACTGCGGAGTGCAGCTCCCTCCTCAGCACAGTGAGAGATCTATGGTGGGGCAAATAGACAAATACTCTCCACCCGCAGAAGGGGTGGGAGGTGATTCACTAAAGAAAAAGCATCATCAGTGGGGTCAGCACAGGAATGAGTCACGGAAGTGAGTTTTAGAAAAGGGGCTATGACAGAGGAGAGGGAAGGGGACTGGGTGTACAAGAAGGGAGAGAATATTCCAAGTGTATGGGGCAAGATGATAGAAGGTAGGAGAAGACAAAGGCTCTCTGTGGAAGGCTGTGGACAGCTTGCTGTGCTTCACTGCCAGGAAAATAATGTACAAAAGCATGACAAGTAAATTCTGTACAAAGACAACTGAGACACCATATTTTGTGACTATTAAAGTTGGACAGGTTGCCTGTCTATAGAGAAGGTTACACAGCTGCCTCTATTCTTTGCTTGTCTCCTGCAACCCTTTTTTTTTTTTTAATGGGAGAAATCTAAAAACAATCAACATTCATATTGTCATTTAATGGGCAGAAATGGTGTCCCTTGCCTTTGTTTGCCAGAAGCTGGGAACGAGCAACGGGGTGGGTCAATTGATGATTGTCTGTTCTGTTCATTCCCTCTGGGGCGCTTGGCACTGGCCACTGTCGATAGACAGGATACTGGGCTAGATGTACCTTTGGTCTGACCCAGTATGGACATTCTTATGTTCTTACGTATTTTAAAGGATTTTATTTCACTCATTTGTAATCTCAGTTGCATTAATTAAAAAAAGACATTTTATTATCATTTCCTTATTACACAAGGGCCTACTTGACACTTCCCATATTAATTTTCATTTATTTTTAGATCTCTAATTAATGGCAAGGATTGCGCACTGGAAATCTTGTGTTAAAAGTTGGGGGTTTTGTGGGTTTTGTAACCATATCTAGAGTGACCATATTTCCAAAAGTAAAAACAGGACGGCCGGGCCCAAGCTGCCCCGCCCCCGGCCCTGCCTGCTAGTCAGAGCCACCCCCCACTGCTGACCCCCCTCCCAGCTCCGTGCCCCATGCCACCCATGGGTGGGGCTGGGGCCGAGTGCCTGAGCTCCCTACTGCCCATAGTAGCGGCTGATGCCCCCAAGCGCCGCAACACCAGCCATTGGGACTGACCTCCCCTGAGCTCTGTGCCCCTGCCACCCACGGCTGGGGCTGAGCCCCCAAGCCCCCTGCTGCTCGCAGTAATGGATGATGCCCCTGAGCTCCGCACCACCAGTGACTGGGACTGACTCCCCACCCCCACCCCGAGCTCCGTGCCCCGCACCTCAGTTGCCACCCTCCTTTAATGTTCCTCCGTGCCCCCGCTGCGGGGGGGGGCGGGGGTCCAACTTTTTTGGTAAACTGGGCATTTTTTGCTCTTGTCAGCTGATCAGTTGGGAAGAGCAAATGGGAGAAATGCCCATTTTCCTCAAAGAAGTTAGGACCCCCGGGACAGAGCTTAAAAATGTGACTGGCCCGGCCAGAATGGGACATATGGTCACCCTAGCCATATACAGGGATTTTTTTTTAATAAACATGAAACAGTCTTTGTTGTTCTCCTATGGTTTAATTCCTTTAGAAGCTTGAGATGGAAATTTGTCCTTCCTAAAATATTTTCTATATCTTGGCTTGTGCACTCTGTTTTGATATATGTTTGTGTGTGATTGCAGGGCTGCTGGCATTAAATTGTGTTCAAGTATATTTTTATACTGATAATACTGTTATAGCACTTTTCCCATCTGTCTCAGAGTTTTATGAAGACTCATGCATTAAACATTTCAAAAAGAGCCTTGGTGAGGTAACTATTCACAATTTTTACGATTTCTAAAAGAAAGACACAGACAGGGCTGCAAATAGAACCCAGGAGTCCTGTTTATTAACTAGACACATTCTCTCTTTTAAAGGAAAAAGAGAGGTTAATGATTTTTTTTGTGTGAACAGGAGAAAACCATAAAGTTACATGGACTTTCAGATTGACAAATGAAGCCTAACAATAAACTGAAATGTTGATGACCCCTATTTCAAATATTTGATATATCCATGCCAAACATCTTTGTACCATTTCTGTTCCAGATGTCGGTGGTATTCCTGTCAGTCAGAAGAATATTGTGAAAAGCTCATTTCAGTTGTGCATTTTAAAAATGCCTTTTAAAAAAGTTTTAGCATGTATTTATTAAAATATATTTTCCTTCTGTTACTTGCAGGTCAAAATTTACCGGGCTGATTCATACTCGCTTTGTCTTAACCATGTTATAGAAGAATAAACATGATGACAAACAGAGGTAACCTCTCTTCCTTCCAGAGCATTGCATCAGGTATGAAATGCATAAAGCACGTCTTGTAACTTTACTGGAGACTTCATTGGTTTTGGTGCTATAATTTTGTTTGCTCTGTAAATTGTCAGTTCTCTGCTCTTGTTACCTTCATAATTTATTTTTCTAACTAAGAGGGACCTATTGTCATAGCACAGGGGTGTACAAACTTTTTGGCCCGAGGGCCACATTGGGGTTGCAAAACTGTATGGAGGGCCGGGTAGGGAAGGCTGTGCCTCCCCAAACAGCCTGGCCCCCGCCCCCTATCCAACCCCTCCCACTTCCCGCCCCCTGACTGCCCCCTTCAGAACCCCCCACCCATCCAATCCCCCCCCGCTCCTTGTCCCCAACCGCCTCCTCCCGGGACCCCCCACTCCTAACTGCCCCCCAGGACCACACCCCCTATCCAAGCCTCCCTGCTCCCTGACTGCCCTGACCCCTATCCATACCCCTGCCCCCTGACAGGCCCCCCGGGACCCCATGCCTATCCAACTGCCCCTGTTCCCCGTTCCTTGACCCCTATCCACACCCCCTGACAGGCTCCCTGGGACTCCCATGCCTATCCAACCCCCCACCCTGTTCCCCGTCCCCTGACTGCCCCCCAGAACCTCTGCTCCATCCAGTTGCCCCCTGCTCCCTGTCCCCTGACCGCTCCCTGGGACACCAACCCCTTATCCAACCCCCCAGTCCCTTTACCATGCCACTCAGGGCAGCACATCTGGTAGCCGAACCACCCAGCCACGTGGCTGCGGGGAAAGGGGGACAGCGGGAGAGGGGCTGGGGGCTAGCCTCCCCAGCCGGGAGCTCAAGGGCTGAGCCAGATGGTCCCGCAGGCCAGATGTGGCCTGCGAGCCATAGTTTGTCCACCTCTGCCATAGCCTCTGGGTGCATCACAAAAAAGAACAAATCTCAGTTTTATGTCTGTCCTCATTGAGTAGCAGAACTGACCCTCTGATTAACCACCTAGACAGAGAAACCAGACAAGGAAGAAAAGAGAAGATGCTGCCTCTTTATAACTCTCTCCGGCAAATACTTGGCTTAAAAGATGATCCTTGCACTGTGCACTGAAGGTTAAGCAATTACAGCTCTGTCTGACCTCCAGAAGGAATGAATTCCTTACACATTACCAAGCACACCCTGCCTCTAGTCTTCATGAGTACATGTGTAGGGAGTGCCAGCAAGAGTATCTAAGGAGTCATGGTACATTCGGAGAGTCATTACTGAAACAATAGCTTTAAAAAATTCCACCAAAGATCTGGTTTATGGACAGACAGCTAGATTCAGCTAAGTGTAGAAGTCCTATTGATTTAAGTGCTTTGCTTCATTGAGGCTGATGTGCTGAGGAATTCATATAAGGTAAAGTATGGAACAGTTAAATTCAAGCGGCTGCATAGAGGTATTTCTGACTTTTGTTTGTTTTGCTCTTTGACATGAGAAGTACAAGGAACTCTTCATTGCTCTGATGAACAAATGTGATAATTTTCATTAGTTTACTTGTTCTTTCGCTAATGGCTTTATTCTCCATGAGATTAAATGTGCCCCTTCAGTGTTGAAGGGTAGTAATGAAACAGTCCCTAAAATTACATTACTGTGCCTGAACATGTTTCTGTACAGGAGTCAGTAGAAATTATGCAAAAAATAGGGTAATGTTTGATGCTAATTTAGGCTAGTTGCATCATGATCTTGTTTTGAATGGTTAGTATTTGATGCGAGATTAATTGAAAGTGTGAGAGAGATTTGGAATGGGGGGGGTGAGAGGGTTGTTAAGTACTATTAAGAATGGAGTGGTGGATATGAAGAATAAGCTCTCACAATCACAAATAACTTTCATGTTTTTGGTCTTCGGGTTTGAACTTCTAAACACCACTCATGCTTAATCTTTTTCAGTTGGTTTTGTTTTGTTTTACCAGACAGAGCCCTGTGGAACACGAATGGCTTTTTTTTCTTTTTGTCAATTTGAACTTGATTGTCACCACTAAACAAAACTTGTACAAGTCCTGTTGAAGTTTTCTAACTAAAATTTCACATTATAAGGAACTGTCTGGCTCAAAGTACCAACAATGAGATATGAAGCCTTTCATCACTAAACTTGCTGGCTCAAATCCAGCCAAGATTATTAGTATTCAAAAGTCATTAACATTCGATCCTGATTGACCCTGTAAAATTAGTTGGTGGTGTTGTCTACTTTCCAGGGACCTACATGCTCTAGCATGAAGGCATGAAAGCGTATGTAGTGTCAGACTTTGGGTTCAGGTCTGAAGCTTCAGATAGTGTTTTCAACAGGCATAACAGGGAAGGTCCTCTCATGGATCAGTAATTGGTTAAAAAATAGGAAACAAAGGGTAGGAATTAATGGTCATTTATCACAATGGAGAGAGGTAAACAGTGGGGTCCCCCAAGGAATTGTACTGGTACCTGAGCTATTCAACATATTCATAAATTATTTGAAAAAGGGAGTGAACAGTGAAGTGGCAAAGTTTGCAGATGATACAAAATTATTCAAGATAGTTAAGTTCAAAGCTGATTGTGAAAAGTTGTAAGAAGATCTCAGAAAACTGATTGATTTGGCAACAAAATGGCAGATGAAATTCAACATTGATAAATGCAAAGTAATGCACGTTGGAAAAAATGATCCCAGCTACATATATATAATAATGGTTCTACATTTGCTGTTACTTGGAGTCTCCATGAATAGTTCTGTGAAAGTTTCAGCTCAGTGAGCAGCAATGGTCAAAAAGGCTAACAATGGTAGGAACCATTAGGAAAGGGATAGAAAATATGACTGAAAATATCATCATGCCACTATGTAAATCCATGGTACACCCACACCTTGAATACTGTGTACAGTTCTGGTCTGCTCCATCTCAAAAAAGATATATTAGAATTGGAAAAGGTATAGAGAAGGGCAACAAAGATGATCAAGGGTATGGAATGGCTTCCATACGAGGAGAGACTAAACTGATTAGGGCTATTCAGCTTTGAAAAGAGATGACTAAGGATGGGATATGATAGACGTCTATAAAATCACGAATGGTGTGGAAAAAGTGAATAGAGAAATGTTATTTACCCTTTCCCAAATACAAAAACTAGGGGTCACCCAATGAAGTTAATAGGCAGCAGGTTTAATACAAACAAGAGGATGTACTTTTTCACACAGTGCACAGTTAACCCGGGGAACTTATTAACATGGTGTGTTGTGATGGCAAAAAGTATTACTAGGTTCAAAAAAGAACTAGATAAGTTCATGGAGGATAGGTCCATCAATGGCTATTAGCCAAGGTGGTTAGGAATGCAACCCCATGATTGGGACCACTCTAACCTGATTGCCAGAAGCTGGGAGGGAATAACGGGGGTGGATCATTCCAACTGCTCCATTCTGTACACTACCCCTGAAGCTCTGATACTGGCCACTATTGGAGACAGAATACTGGGCAAGATGGACCATTGATCTGACCCAGTATGGCCGTTTTTATGTTCTTAACCATTAGATGAGACAATAACTTTAGCAATAAGTAAAACAGACTGCACTGTGTTCATGTGGTGAATAGGGATGAGATAACCTTTTCCAGTTAATTGATTTCAGTTGGAACTGCGGGTACTCAACACCTCCGAAAATCAGGCCTATGACGAGTCCTGTACCCTCACCACAAGACCATTGTTGCTGTGAAGGATAATTGCTTCCTTAACTTCAAATACACAGCTAATTCCTTGATTTAGCCTGCCAAAGAGTGGCTTTAAAGGTTAAGTGAGCTGTTTTACATCAGCAAAGGCCTGAGATCAAGCCCCCTCAGGGTTCTGTGTGTCTCTGGCAGTGGCTGATGCTATCACTGACAGAAGGAGAGCAGGAACTGCATTCCTTTCACTGCTTTAGGTACCAGAGATTTCCTTTCTAACGAAAACTCCTCAGAACTCTTGGGCTGAAATTTGGATCTTGACACGTAACTGAACAAAAAATGATTTTTCATCTCATGATCGGTTTGACTATGTATTTATAGCTTGTAATTCTGAACTATTGTTCTACTAGGGACATGGGATCTTAAACAGCTTTCTGTATTTATAACAACCTTGGATTCCCCTTTAATAACGCAAGGTGGCTAACTTCATATTTTTTTTACATCTTAAAGACTATAGTGCTTATAGAGAGCTTTTCATCTTTCAAGTGTTCTACAAACATCAAAGAACTAAACCATAATACCCTTGAAAAATAGGTTGTATTCTCATTTTACAGTGGGGTAAACTGAGGCAAGGGGGTGATTTGTCCACATTTATATAGGACCTTGGTACAAAGCCCACTGAAGCAAATGGAAACACTCTCATTGACTTGAGTGAGCTATGGACCAAGCACATAGTTAATAGGTTGCACTTAGTCTTTCTGTGTCTCAGTTCTCTGGCTGTAAAATGGGATTAATTTCACTTCCCAACCTCACAGGAGTTTTGAGAAGATACATAAATGAAAGATTGTGAGTTGCGCAGATTCTGTAGTGATGGGGGCTATATATCTACCTAAGATAGATAGATAGGGATAGGACTTGAATTCATGAGTTTGTGTCTCCTTCTTATGTGTTCTAAACCAGTTGTTCTCCACCATTTTGAGCTCAGCACCCATTTGTAAATCTTCGTGGTCTGTTGCCACCCAGTAAATAGTCTGGAGTGGAGGCCCGGGGCGGTTTCAGTCAGATCCTGCCCCCCGTAGTGTTGGGTCCTGCCCAGCACTCACCCCACAGTGGTAGCGCCTATAACCCCTGTGCTGTGGGGCTGGCTGGGATTGGATCTCCACTCTGGGCATTGCAACCTCCATGGTTGCAGCGCTGCTCAGATTTGGCCCCACTCCCCGACTGGACAAAATTTGTGTGAGTGGAGTTGTGATTTGGCTCATGGGGTTGCAGTGCCAGACACTCAAATATGGCCTATCCGTATTCTCATCGTCATAATGGCTGGGCTAAACCTAAGTGGTGCTGGGACCTGCGAGGCAGCAGGGAGGTGGGCCCAGCCCACCCTGTTGGACAGGAGTCACAGGAGCTGCCCCACAACCCTTTGAAACATTCTGGCGATCCAGTTTTAGGTCCCGACCCATGGGTTGAGAAACCCTGTTCTAAACCACACCTTTAAAAAACTCTGTTAGAAAAACTAGGGTCAGTATTTCTAGTGGGCAGGTCACCAGAACAGGCGTCAAGGGATGTAGATTCTTTTCCCATCTGTGTCACTGATATGCTCTGTAACCTTGGGGAAATCGCTTGACTGCTCTCTGACTCAGTTTCCTTCTCTGTCAAATTGGGATTATAAAATTTACACACCCACCTTTGTTAAGGTTTCTAATAATATAATTACATATCTTAGAACAAAGTTATTTTTCCATGATAGATTAAGTATATACGATTATTTTTAACTAGTTGCGGGGTGAGGCCTTCTCATGTATTTTCTGAAAACTAATTTTTCCCCTTTTTTTCTCTCTCTCACAGATTCCAGTAAGATTATGGCAGAATACAGCCACATACAAAACCAGCTGGAATTACAAAATAGTAGTTTAGGAAAAAGCTCTGTGATTAATTCCTTTGAAAATGATCTCCAGGATATTATGGATAGCCTCAACCAGAAGAAATATTCATCAAGCCTTAAATTTAAAACAAATGGGGACTCCTCTGGTTCCTATTTAACCCTATCACAACCTGTGCCAGCTAAACCCAGCCCTTCATCTAGTGTTAAAAATATAAATTCCGCTACTAAAATTCAAGGATGTAAACCCTTTTCTTGTGAGAGCCCTTATCTTTCAGATAAAAGTGTCTCTGTAAAGCATATGGGTTTCACTTCTCCATCCTCTAGCGGGTACAGCCTGGGAAGGACAGACTTCGATATTCATGCCAACAGAGAAAATGAAAAACTCTTTGGACATGTGGATAAGTTTCACTATTCAAAATATAGTCAAAAAAATAAATCGTATGACAATGTCTTCTTCCCAGCAGTGCTGGATGGGAAGAAGAACTCAGGCTCTCTTCTTGCAATGTGGAATGGAAGCTCAGGTAGTGAAATAATTCTCTCACCTGTCAGCAGTTCAGGGGCTGCAAGCATGCCTTCCAGCCCAAAACAAGGCAGGAGGATGAATATTCAAGACCACCTAACCCTTCATTCAAGACCAGTTAAGCATAAGGAGACCATGACTGAGACTCTGGGTTCAAGAACTAGGAAGTATTCTGGTGGGTCACTGGGTCATATGGGAGTTTATAGTCGTTCTCTGCCCAGACTGTACAAATCGACAGAAAGCCAGCTGATGCCATTAAGTTTGCCTCCAAGAAACTCTCTTGGTAATTCCAAAAGAAAAAAACACGGAGAAAAAGATCTACCTCAAAGTGCATTAGATGCTGATAATTATCTTAATTTTTCTTCTTGCAGCTCAGGGGTGTCACCATATACAAATTCTGTGTCTGACAGTAATTCCTATGTTAGTTCAACTCTTAGTGTTCCTGCAAGCCCCCGAATAGCTAGAAAAATGCTTTTAGCATCTTCCTTCTCCCATGTTTCTGATGATTTTGATAGATTTGGACTCTCAGGGACAAGCCCCAGTAATTCTTTTTCCCCTGTGGATCTTGACAGAACATTCTCTGTCAGAAGAAACATTTCCACTAGTTCCATGGAGTTTGATGAATCTGACCTGGAAAGCTTCAGACAGACACCTACCTTACGGGAGAGAAAGAACAGTATTAGTTCAATTTCTGGAAGAGATGACCTAATGGACTATCACAGGAGACAAAGGGAAGAGAGGCTTAGAGAGCAGGAGATGGAACGACTGGTAATTTTTCTTTTCCTTTTAGTTTTTACCAGTGTTTAATGCTTTCGAAACTAACTTTCCAAAGCAAACTGTTAAGAGTATACAGTAGATGCAAAACATCTGCTGTTGTGTTTTGAAATTCAAATACATGACCTTGTGCGCTGGCGGCTTGTTTACTATGTCAGTCTCTAAAGTTAATGGGTATATAGTATGCTACATCAACATATCAGATGGTATCATTCAACCATTTGAAAAAAATGTAGGAAATTCACAGAAATTATGGTAGTTCAATCTGTGGGTTCCGCCAAAATATCTATGTACATAAAACCCACAAATTGCACGGCAGGGCTCCAACACTCTTAAAAACATTTTTTTTTCCAAGTTGATGGCACTGTTTTGTGGTAAACACTGGGTAAAAAAAAAACAAAACAAAACCTATGTCTCCACTGTCAGATTTCAGGGTCATGCTTCAATAAGCACCAAAGAATTGGACAACAAAATTACCTGATGTGTAATTGCTTGGTCAAGACTTTGTCTCCTGAGTGTCTTCATCAAAGCATTGATTTCTCTACTTGTTGGTTCTTTCTAGTGATCACAAGGCGAGGGAGGAGGGGAATCATTTCCATTCTGTAGGACATCCAAAATGTTTGATGCAAGACAAAATATTAAGATTATATAATGCTTCAAAAATTAAAGGTAAAATAATTAGAGCTATACTGATCCATCAATTAAAACTGAATAATACCCCAAAAGGAGAAATCATATAACGGAAACACACTATTTGAAAAAATCAAATCTTTCAAAATGTAAATTTAAAAAAAAATTGTATTTGAAAACTTCCTCACGAGAATATTTACCTTTTTGCCCCAAATATTTTTACACTTATAGCAAAGTAAAATGCACCCTTTGTTGCAGGGATCATATAAGGTCATGTATACACAGAAGTTGCACTGATTTTATTCCATCAGTTTAGAAATTGATGTACTTAAATGGGTGCAGTCCCATTTGTGAACACTCCTAACTAGTTTAAAAGTGACTCTATATCAGTTTAGTTCAGGGGTGGGCAAACTACTGCCCACGGGCCGGATCCGGCCCATCAGGGCTTTGGATCTGGCCCGCAGGATTGCCACCCCCGTGACGGCACTGGCCCTGCACCGCTGCCGAAAGCGGTCGGCACCATGTCTCTGCAGCCCCTCGGGGGAGGGAGGTGGGGCCAGAGGGCTCCATGTGCTGCCCTCGCCTGCAGGCACCACCCCCTGCAGCTCCAATTGGCTGGGAATGGGGAACCGTGGCCAATGGGAACTTCGGGGGAGGTACCCGCAGGCGAGGGCAGCACACAGATCCCTCTGCCCCCTGGCTCCCCCAGGGGCTGCAGGGACATGTCTTAGCCCCGCAGAGAGCCTGTCTTAGCCCCGTTGCACGCCACTGCCACCCTGGAGCCGCTCCAGGTAAGCAGCGCCGGGCCGGAGCCTGCACCCCGAACCCCTCCCGCACCCCAACCCTCTGGTCTGAGCCCCATGCCGCACCCCGCACCCCTCCTGCACCCCAACCCTCTGCCGCACCCCTCCTGCATCCCACCCCCTTCCCTGAGCCCCCTCCCACATCCCAACCCCTTGCCGCACCCCTCCTGCACCCAAGCCCTGAGCCCCCTCCCATGCCCCTCCTGCACCCCAACCATCTGTCCTGATCCCCCCTGCACTCCAGCCCTCTGCTGTGAGCCCCCTCCTGCACCCCACACCCTCCCACACCCCAACCCCCTGCCCTGAGCCCTCTCCCTCACTCTGCAGCCCCTCCTGTACCCCAATCTCCTGCCCTGAGCCCCCTCGTACACTCCGCACTCCTCCTGCACCCCAACCCCTTGCCCTGAGCCCCTTCCTGCACCCCGCACTCCTGCACCCGAACCCTCTGCCCCAGCCCTATATTCATGGCCCTGCATGCAATTTCCCCACCCAGATGTGGCCCTCGGGCCAAAAAGTTTGCCCACTCCTGGTTTAGTTTGTCAGTTCCTTATACATTTTGAGGTAAATTAAACTAAGGCACTGTTGAACTGATCTAGTTATATGGGTGCAACTTTTGTGTGTAGACAAAGCCTAATATCTGCAGTCGAGTTTACTTGATTCTGCTGTGTCAGATCATTGTATGACAAAATTCAGGGATACAGATGGAAATTTGAGGAAAGAGTGGCGGTTGGCTATTGAATCCACAAATATGCTGATTCAGCGACCACAAATACTCATATAATGAGTATACAGGGTCATGGCCTTTATTCTAGGCCAAGTTGAAAGCGGTCTCTGGTTGAGGACTGGATTCTGTTTAATTCTTGCCCCTAAATCCTGTGTATTTCCCCCACACACACACTCCCCACCCCAACCTCATACCAGTATAGAGGCATTAATTTCACTAATGTTAGTTATTTAGAGATACTGAACATATTATACTATAATAGGTATACTTAGAGTTAAAGTCTATTATTATTTTAAAAAACAAAGCAAACATTTTCGAAGTTGGGTGCTTAAAGTAAGGTACCTAAATCCATATTGGACTTCTAAATGAAACTAGCTAGATTTTCAGAGATATTGAGGGCCTATGATTTCCATTAAAGCCAGTGAGTGCTGCAAATAGAGTTGGATGGACAACTTGTGTATGTGTGGGTGGGTGGGTGGGGGGGACGAACGAATCACCATTTTAATCAATTTTTTGTTGAAATCTTTTTGGATATAAGTATTGTCTCCCATTGTTTGACCAGCTTTAGGTATGAGTTGTCAGTGCTTCTGATAATGTGGTGACTTATTTTGGTGCCAGACTTGAAGTGTCCACTGTGGAAAGTTTTGGTTTAACATTTTTACTGTGTTAGAGCCATTGACTCCTTTCCAGTGAACAATGCTACCAGCTTGCAAGAGGGAGGTACTCCGTCACTGAAAAATTCAAACCAAGTATGGTGTAGCGGTTTTGTATTTTTAAGAGGAAAATCCTGGATTTTGGGGGGGATGCTTCTACAGTTAGTACTGCTGTTCTCTTGAAAGTAAAATGCCAATCTAAAGATATGTTCTGATTCTGTTTTTAGATGAGATGACTAAATCTTTCCTTTTATTTAGCATTTGTTTCTCCCAGCTCAATACTTCCTTAGAATCCTGATCCTATAAAAGGAGAATTAGCCTAAAGTTTTCTCAACATGTTAAAATGTGTGAAAGATTGACTGTTTTAGGTGCTGTATGACTTACACACGAAGGAATTTGCTCGTTCTTGATTTAGTCTTCTCTTCAACATCCTACTATATATTACTTTTTGAAGTTATCCAGTTAAGGATTGGAAATCAGAACAATACATTTGAGAGCTTGAGCAATCACTATAATTAGTTAGCCAACCCCTGGCAGGAAGTATATATTTGTAAAAATACCATTTCTTTATACCCTGTATATAAAAATCAGTGTTGGGTCTCCATGCATTCAGAGTCTGATTTTTCCAAATGGGCTGAGCACCCACAGCTCCTTGGGACTTCTTTATTTTTAGCTTGATTTTGCACACCTTACTAAAGGTACTTAACCCTTCTTCTTCCTGCTTGATGGAATGTGGATTTGTACAGCATGTTTCCTGTGGAAAAGATGATAGATAACCAAAAATGCGTGGGTTCAAAGTGCTGAGTAGAAGTGTGGGTTGAATGGCTTAACGATAAATGATTTGGGGAAGTCAATTTTTATCCAAATATTTGGCCTTTTAATGTGAGGTAAGGTAAGCCAAATAGAATGTGTTTAGAGAGATTCTGGAAATGCAAACATCAGTTTTGAAACCGTGTTTCAGGTACTGTAATACTTTAAAGAGTCAGTGTAGTTTGGCCCACTATTTTCCTTTGAACTAACCAATTTTTTTCTTTTCTTTTTCTTTTTATGATTTTTTAAAAAACATCTCTGAAACTGCTTTTTGTGTGTGTTTGCTTGCTTTTAACTTGCACAGGCTGGTGGAGAATGTTGAAACTGCAGCCTTTGTTAGTCCCTGAATATGAAACTAAATGGTCTGCTTTTACTGTTCACATGGAGTAAAACACCGAAGTAAACAAACAGCACAAACAGTGAAATGTCCATTTCAATTTCTGGAATAATTTTAGCTTCAGTAATGTAATTCTAATTTTGTTACCCATGTGACAAAGTAGTTTTCTTTTTAAGAGCAGGGTTTGGTGTTCTTTCTCTTTTAAAAAAATATATGTATCCATGGGCCAGAGTCCAAACTGGTGCATGGAGGTGTCAGTCAAACTTTCCTGTGCCAGCCTGTTTCCCTGTATCTCATGAGGCTGGTTGTGTCCCTGATCTTGTCCTCCTCTCTGGATTTTCTGTAATGGGTATGAGTGTGTGTGTCATGAGCTGCAGGACAGGGAAGACAGCTTTAGGGTTATAGCCAGAATTCCATAAGAGCTATGTTGATCGTGGTTGCTGAGGAGATAGGGTGATTGGACTTTGCATCTTGGAGGAGTGGAGTGTGGGGAGGATCTTTCAGAATTTTTACCATCAGAAGCCATTGTAAATTCTGGCTGAACTTAGCCGAAGTTTTTAAACACATCTCCCCCTTATAACTGGTTTATGAATGTTTAAAGGAAAGACCTATTAGACAAATAAACATTCATAAAATACTTGGCTAAACCTCACATGTTTGAGTATAATATAAACCCCAATACATATTGAAGTTCGAATGCAATCAATCATCTGAATCTAAGAAAAGCAGGGGGATGAATAGCAGTATTGGTTGAAATACTGACTGTGGGAAGGAATTTATACACAAGCTGACAGACACAAGTTGGATAGATATTAAGGACAATCTAGGCAAGTTGATACTTAGGTGCTGTCAGATAGTCACAACCTTGTTGGAGATTGTCTAGTGCTGATTTAGAGGCAGTACAATATTTTACCTGTAGGTGGAGCCACATATTTAAAAATTACTATTTGGAATTATGTAAAATATTGTCCACAGCCCATCTCTTGGTATGGATCTGTAAACCATACTTTTATAGGTCAAGCAGCCTTTCTGGAAAT